ATCTGTGACCTGAGACATAAAACCCTGCCAACTTGGAGATGAGTTGCTCAACAAGCGGGACACTATCCACAGCATGTCCATACTTTGAAAGTGTGTCATAGGAAGATTGATTGGCTGCAGCCCTCAAACACAACATTGGGCAGTTGACTTCTGACTGGTTGATGGTAGGGTTTTATGAATGTACCAAAGGTTCCTGATTTCACAATCTCAGCAGATGTTACTTTCTGTCTGGGGATGGAAATTGTTTTACTTTCTTTGGGTGTTTGACAAGTTATCATTCCCATTACATGTGAAGTATCTTGTCCATTTAATGTATCTTCATTGTGATCAAAGTTGTCTGCGATCCATTGGCAAAATCCTGAAGCAGGCTCAGTTGATTGGTTGACGTTATCTTGATTGACAGCAGCCGATTTCTCGAAGTCAATGACTTGATCATAAGAGGCGCTAAACGCAAGGGAGGAAAGAACATTGAGAAGAACTCTTGACCGTGTAAGGTGGTGGATAAACAGGCCTACACAGAGCATCAGTGTTGAGATGTATGACTGTCCTGAAGCCATCTGAAGTAGAACATGACATAGAGAAATGATAAGAAGTCTCTGTTTGGCAAGAGATGATGGACTCCTTGACTTCGGTAGAATTCTTTCAATGAGACTGAGGAGAAGCGGCGGTACCTGCTCTTCAAGTTTGTCCACATTGATGTCACTGGGTGAAGGATATTCTTGGGTAGAAGATTCATCCTGAACTTGACTCCACTTGCTTATTTCATCTCTGAGAATGGATCCAGCTTTCTTTATAATCTTCTTATCTTCAGTTTCCTTTTGAATGTCAGTTTGAGTGTAAGATCCATGAAGAATGGAAGATGCTGTACTTGTTGAAAGTGATAACATTTGGTTTTCCATCTATCTCAGAAAAATGTTATTTGATCTCCAAATGTATCAATCAGTCTCCTCTTGAGGTGTTTTATGGAATATGGTTCAGTTTCAGGAGATAGATAGGATGAAAGTTCCCTGTGCACATCTTGGATTGTGAACTGCTGATAGTTATGATTATCTTCCTCAAGCCATCTGCACAACTTGATAAAGGCTCTGTTGTTTCCCTGGTCAGAGTTACGTGAATTGGTCTTGCTTTTGACTGTGTTTTGATGTCTCTGGGGATGTAAATACCTGAAGACACTGTCTATGGTATCTGGCCTCAACTGCTCTTATATCTCCTGCATACAAAATACGGGCTTTGACAGTTGATGCATCATCATCTTATCTTTTACTACAAACATCTAAGAGAGTTTGTTGAAGAACAGATTTTTGTCATTATTTATGATTTCAACTTTGCTAACATCATGACGGTGAGGATGTTTTTGTAGATCGATGGAGTCAATCTTCATTCCACAGATCAAGCAACAAGTGTCATAATCAAAATTATTTTCTGAATTTCTTAGGATACGAATAGGAGTGATGGACTGAGCTGCCTTAACGTTTTTCTTTTTGCAGTGTATGATTTTCTACAATTTTCATGAACGTGATGATTGTCTGACTGTGAAAGATATTCATGGAGGTCATCCTTTTCTTAGTTCAGAAACACTCAGCAGTGAAAGAATTCCCTTGCTTGTAAGCTTCCACTGTAGCATCAGGTTTCTTACAAATGATGCAGAAAGACATGTTCTGAAACATTAAAAATATATATTAATATTTCAAATGTTTTCAAAATCATCAAAATTTTGCTTATATGAATGAACATTTTACTAGTCAACAAGGAACAGTTGACTTTATTTGTTTGATATGGAGGTAACTCTTATAATGTTTGTGAGAATTTATAACATGTGCTTCAGGCAAAGCTCAGGGAAATTTTTAGAAATATGAGCATAACAAAATGGTATGAGCTTAATTTCTATGTTTTATGATTCATCTTTAGATTTTTAGAAATGGTAAACTTGTAAATATTTTAATTAATTTATGTACATATTTTAAGTTTTACTGAAAAGAAATCTAATGGCATCACAATTTCCACTCACTTAGTGCATTCGGTAATGTTTTCCTAATTTCATTTTCTTAATTAAATCATAATTTCTATCAATTTTGGAAATATTAAAACTTGAATCCTACTGTTTGGACAGTGTTTTTGCAGGTGTAACATATCTGCTTTTCATTGGTACTTTGTGAACTAATTCTAATTTTTAACAGATCAAAGAGACAAATACACCAAAATAAAATGAGCCTATCCAAATCTGTTTTCATCAATATATGCATGATAACCATGTCTTGTGTAGTGTACAATAATATCTTCATTGATAATCTATATTTGAAATATACAGTTTTTGACTATCATTGACTACAAATTACTCAAAGATTTAATTATCAACAGACGCTTTCATATTATGTAATGAGTCGGAGGCAAAATAGCATCAGTAGGGAGTGCATTTTGTAGTTTCTGCAGTGGTTCCATATATTTTATATATTTTTAAGGTAATATTTCATTCTAGATTTGATTGCATCTGTCTCCTAGAACATCTTAAACATCTACTTCATCACCATATGACAAGAAAAACTAGTAGGAAAACCATAACATTACATGACCTTGAAGCCTAAAATTTCAATATCAAGTCTATCTATCTTGTTCAATTTTTCATTGATCAAACATGACTATTTTGAAGTTATTTCTAATACCTTTATGTCTCAATGCCTTTTAACAGTTGTCAAAGCTTATTTCCCATGGAAACTTTCTTAAAACTCACAGTACTTACCTTGTATGTCAAATTTCACCGCTTCAAAACTTCTGTTGTCACAACAATGTCGGCCATTTTGGCTGTTACTATGAAGGGAGATAATATTAGTCATACAACTGATGTTATATGTAAGGAACCTCAGCACATCACTGAGGTACATTTTCAAGTGGTCATAACTTTTTCTGCCCAAGGTTGATTTTGGTTGGTTTTTTTTCTCAGCATCACAGGAACCTATAAATCATTTTAAGACACAAATTTGCTTGTTATACTAAATGTCCGGGTCAACTTAATTTCATGTCGATTTCTACTGGACTATGATTACAAGTAGAAAAAATACTGTACCACACTGTGGTGAACCGCTGCCAGATCTTCACGTGGTACGTACTGCTGTGTACACACACGTCCATCCAATCGGAATCCAAAAGCGTTACATTAAGTCCGTTCCTAATCTGCTAGTCATCATTAATCTCAAATTGCTTGAAGATGAAAGCGAACTGTCGCAACCAGCAGAAGTGCATGGTAAAATGTCGAGGATGTTTTCTCCGCGCTTTGCTTTTGTAGAAGGTGACCTTGGCCTTGTTTATAACGTTCGACAGACATATTACGGTTGTGCGTGAACTTAGGTCTTCTTAAAACTTATCGGTAGACGTTGGGACGGTGGCGTAAACACGTGGTCAAAAGGAACCTTCGTCACACCGTATTATTATAAAATTAACGCAATGATTGTTTTACCGCTACTCGTGTTGAATGCAGTGAGTGAGTGAATATTGCTTAACGCCGCGGCGATGTTTAATGCAGCCTCGGGGACCACAGATGAGCTGCAAATGCTGTACCCAGTTAGGGAATCAAACCCGAACCCTCTGCGTGCCGGGCGAATGCCTCAACCACTATGCTACCTAACCGTCCCGATACTCAAATGACCGAGAACAGGGAGGCTAGTCTTATGCGCTGATAACATAGTAAAATACGAGGGTGATATACATAAAATTGCAGATATCCATCCTATGGCATATCCACAAACATTTAAAATCATTATCAAAACAAAGTCAAAATCGTTCGTTGACACAAGAAATTAGACTAACAACTAGTCTATGAAATGAACATATTTTACAGAAAAAGGGCACATAGTGAAAAAACCCAAAATATAATAAAAGGAGCCCTGAGACATCTTCAAGCTGTGGAAATCTAGACTTGCCACATTTTCTAGACTTGCGAGGGATTTCTTGGATATATTTGCTTCAGGGTCTGTATGACAGACTAACATGAAATGTTCAAAGCCCAGATCAAAGGTGTGCGTCATGATCATCGTTGTCGGGTCAGTGAAACGCAATAAATGACCAAGTGGCCAAGTCTGACCACCTGACCCATTTGGTCACCTCTCCGGACAAACACAGGTGTCTTGGGATCCATTCCAGGGGGATGTATGCAGTAAACGCTGTGTACTTAAACAAGCATAGTATGGCGGAGACAAACCTATGCACACACCTGCATGTGAAGGACTTCTGAGGGCAAGGATAGTCGACACCTTACACTACTCTCCCACCTAGGAGTTTAACGCTGCTTCATAGTTTTTTAGTAGTTCAAAATAGAACAATATCATAGAAAACGTACTGTTATTGTAGAGTGAGTGTGTTTAGTTTTACGCCGCAATATTCCAGCTATACGGCGACGGACTGTAAATAACCGAGTCTGGACCAGACGATCCAGTGATCAACAGCATGAGCATCGATCTACGCGATTACCGATGACATGTGTCAATCAAGTCAGCGAGCCTGACCACCCGATCCCGTTAGTCGCCTCTTACGACAAGAATGGGTTACTGAAGATCAATATTCTAACCCGGACCTTCACAGGTTGCTAATGTAGAGGGGTAGTAGGTAATTTAGTGGAATAAAAGCAAGACGTAATATAAAACGTCTTGGACACATTCACACAGCCAAACCTTATGTAAAATACTTTAAAAATATTGAGTTCTGTTTGAGAGTCCTTTAGAGAGTGTTAAAGATATTTTGTTTTGATGACCACATGTAGCCCAGTAGTTAAGGCGTTTGCTCGTCACGCCGATGACCCGGGTTCGACTCTCACATGGGTACTATGTTTCTGGTGTTCCCCGCAGTGATATTGCTGGAATATTGCCATAGGCGGCGAAAAACTAAACTCACTCACTCACTATGACCACAGGGTTAAATCAAAGGGAGAATATGAAAATAAAAAAATGAATGCATGTCATATGATAACACAAGCTGTCTGAACATGTGATATGCCAGATATTGACAGCCATGTGACCGGCGCGTGTTGACACGGGTATATAACGATTGATGTCCTCAGTCCCGTTCTCTCTGTGTAGCGCTGCAGAGTCGATATGTCGAAGATCTCGCTGATCGCCTGTGTGTTGATGGCCGTTGGAGCCGTGGGGCAGCTCCCTTCTCCCTGTATAACACCACCCCAGTTTGCGGTCAGTACAATACCCTCCTCCACCACCCTGTATAAAACCACCCCATCTTCCATCACAGCTCACCTCAGCTCACGGTCAGCACAGTACCCTCCTCCACCATCCTGTGTAACTCCACCCAAGTTCACGGTAAAAACAGATCCTCATTCTTTCCAAACCTCACCTAAGGCAACGCCACCCAAGGTCGTGATCGGTACAGATCTTGAACCTCACCTCCCTTACAAAATGTAATTTAAATTTTTTGGCCGGCAGATACTCTGATTTGTACAAATCGTAAATAGATGGATTTTGCTGTTGCAAGAATCCCAATGTCAGTTTTTGTAACTGTTTTACAAAACAGTGCCATTCATGTTGTACCGTTATAGTTATGTGTTTGCACGAACATCCCATGTGTAGGACCATCAAGGTCGTGGGTATAAACAGTCAGCTGTAAGCCAGGTGTGACCTGATAACGGTGCACTAGTGTAATATTATACAATGATAACGGTAGTTATTGGTATTTTCTTAGGCCACACTCCATTATTACATCGGAACCATGGTCTTCTCGAAGGCCGTACTTCTTTGTTATATTTGAACCATGATTTTCTCAAAGTCCGTACTCCTTTGTTATATCCGAGACATTGTCTTCTCTAAGGCCGTATCCCATTGTTATATCTGAACCGGGGTATTCTTGAAGGCCGTACCCCACTATTATATCTGAAAGTGTAGTGTAGTGTAGTGTAGTGCAGTGCAGTGAAGTGAAGTGTAGTGTAGTGAGGTTAACGCCACTTTGTCGTTGTCTTTTAATACCCGTACCACGGTATTCCCGAAGGCCGTATCACATTGTCATATCTGAACCAGGATATTATGAAGGCCGTGCCCCACTATTATATCTGAATATTTAATGTAGTGTAGTATAGTTTTAGTGTAGTGTAGTGCAGTCGGTGTAGTGCAGTGCAGTGAGTTGAGGTTAACGCCACTTTGTCGTTGAGTTTAAATATCCGAACCATGGTATTCTCAAAGGCCGTACTCAACTGGTATATGTGAACCATGGTATTTTCGTAGGCCGTACTCCATTGTTGTATTAGAACCATTGTACCCTCGAAGTACGTACCGCTTTGTTATATCTGAACCATAGTATCCCCGAAAGGCCCAACACAATTGTTATATTAGAACCATTATGTTCTCGAAGGTCATTCCCCATTGTTGTACCTGAACCATGGTATTCCCGAAGACCCAGCACAATTGTTATATTAGAACTATGGTATTCTCGAAGTCCGTACCGCTTTGTCATATCTGAACCATAGTATTCCCGAAGGCCCAACGCAATAATATCAGAACCATTGTATTCTCGAAGGTCATACCCCATTGTTGTATCTGAACCATAGTATTCCCGAAGGCACAACACAATTGTTATATCCGAACCATGGTCTTCTCGAAGGCCATACCCCACTGTAATATCTGAATGTATAGTGCAGTGCAGTGCAGTGCAGTGCAATGCAGTGCAGTGTAGTTTAGTGTAGTGAGTTGAGGTTAACGCCGCTTTGTCGTTGTCTTTTTATATCCGAACCATGGTATTCTCAAAGGCCGTACTCAACTGTTATATGTGAACCATGGTATTTTCGTAGGCCGTACTCCATTGTTATACTTGAATCTTTGTACCCTCGAAGGTCATACCCTATTGTTGTATCTGAACCATAGTATTCCCGAAGGCACAACACAATTATTATATTATTATTGTAAGTCCGTACCGTTTTGTTACATCTCAACCACAGTCTTCTCGATTGTAATATCGGCCCTTGTTATGTCTTCGTATACAATTACGAATACTATATACTTTATTTGTGTGTGTACCGATGCAATCAGTCTGTTGCATACTCTAATAAATAGTGCTTGATGATTGATTGAGTGAGTGACTGAGTGCGTTGGGATTAACCACACTTTGTCGGCTACAAACGAGGTGTGTCAGCTTAATGTGAGAGGAATTCCACTTTTACCACATTGGTCAACCCACGACCCCAGGTTGACTTAACTGGAAACATAGGCAGGATACGAAACAACGTTCCTGGTACCCCTAATGGCCGCAACTCTGCACAGCAAACTGTCCACCTTTGACGACAGGGTCTACCTTGACGTCTTCTCATGCACAAGGTCACAAATAATCTCTGTACGTTATAAAGAAGACATTACAAAGTATCAAAAAACGAGAACATGTTTCCGGCAACCAGTGTGTATAACGAATTCAAGCACTATTTATTCTTGTTCGTTATAAGTATTTCGGCTGCATTTCGGCTGAAATGTAGGCTACAGCAAGGGGTCGGAAGAAGAAAACAGGTATCTTAAATTCGTTCGTTGTGATCGTATTCATCAGTAGTTGGTAGTATTTCTTCAGCTCCAATAAATCGTTCTTGTCAGTCGGAAAACTCATGAAGTCATTATGTAATAGCAATATCTGAGTGCAGGTTCTAAAAAAGTTCAAAAGTGTGTGTAAATGATCACTTCACCTTCTACTAGATTAGATTATGGTGGACTTCGGGCGTCCAGTCCATGCATTGTAAATGGCCGTATCAGTAGTTGAATCATGATCTCAACGATATCCTTCTTGTTTCGAAACTTCATTAACCAGAGGAATTTGAAAATAGAACCGTAGTTTACTCATTGGTTGCCAGGAACATGTTCTCGATGCTTTGTAATGTCTTCTTTTAAACGTACAAAGAGTATTTGTGGGAATAAGCAACAAGCAACATAATTTGCAATTATATTTAAACTTGAAGTAATTCTTTAGTAAAGTATTTTCTAGCATTAACGTTACGTTTTACCTTTGCAGGATTATAGTGTTTCACGATATCAAAACACCGCGTTGGTTGTCAATTACCATCTCAATTTCCCATGGTATATATTGTTTAAAAACTTCCGTGACCATCCGGGTTAGAATTGATCTTCAGCAAACCATGCTTGTTGTTGAGGTAACTAACGGTATCGAGTGGTCAGGCTCGCGGACTTGATTGACGCATGTCATCGTATCAGAACGATCGATTCTCATGCTGTTGATCACTGGATTGTCTGGTCCAGACTCGATTATTTACAGATATATAGCTGGAATATTGCTGAGTGCGGCGTAAAACAACGAAGAAACAAACCAGCAATACTGTTGAAATGTCTCTAAGAACACGATAAACAAACTTAATATCCGCTTCATGTCTTTTTTACGATTTTACGAGAGCCTCCAAAAAGGCTGACGCCTCACTCGGTCTGTGGTGTCTCCCTTGTTTAATGTATCACATGTATTTCTTAAAGTGCCGGGGGATGGAGATCAACCACGTGGATGACGTGATTCGCCGCTTCATCATCGGCTACGACGCCACCAACAAGAGGAAGGTGATGTTCGAGGAGGAACGCGAGATCATCCCAGGCCGACAGTGAGTTGTGTTTACTCCTCACAGTCAACTTCTGGTGAAGGCAGGGTCCACGATCTGTACATCCTCAGTCACATGTTCTCCGGTTCCTCCTCCCCACTGTCGCTGTGACTCTCTCATGTCGGGGAATCTCGTATCTCAAGTCTATATCAAATGAACTGAATTATTTCCAATGGTGGTAAACAGAGAATTCTAAAAGTATTTTATTCATTAAATCCATCGCGGAAGAATCTATACTTAATAATACTACTACTGCAGCCATACCAAAATAATATTAGATTTATTGTTTGGAAGTGATGTTACTTAACTGTGTACCAGTTCGGCAAACACCGACAACATCACGTGCGACAGTTTTCGATGTACGAAGCAACTGTTTACAGTCACTATGTATGGCAAGTGTTTCTGTTTGGAAGCTGTTCGCCTCGAAATTTCAATTATTGATTTCAGGCAAGTCGTAGGGGATAATAAATCTTTTATTGCATCAAAAGGAAGCTAAAGTGAGGGCATATGCCCCCAATATACAAAATATAGGCCAAAATATTGTCGAACAAGCTTGGCATTGTGCCTTTAATGCGTTACCTCGCAGGTTGACCCGGGTTTGATTCCCCACATGGGTACAATGTGTGAAGTCCATTTCTGGTCTCCACCTCCGTAATGGTACGGGAACATTATTGCTAAAGGCGGCGTAAACCTAATCTCACTCACTCATTCTACAGATTGCACGAATACTTGATCCTCAACAACGACAATGTGGCGTACGACTTCAACATGAAGACCAAGGAGTGTATCAAGTCCGTTCCCAGAACGTGGAGGGACTTTGGAATCCCCCCTAACGCTACCTTCGAGGACGAGTACTACATCGGAGGCCCAGGGGAGGAGGTGTTCGCCCAGGAATGGTCCGACAGGATCCCATTCAGACAAAGTAAGGGTCCCTGCTGTTGTGTTTCTTGGGGAATGGGGATGGGGATTCATTTTATAAGACGGGTTGCATTTTGGTTACTGCTTCAAAAACACAAAAACATTACGGCAACGCAATTTTCCCAAGAGGTATCCCTCATTACCAGCGAAACATGTATTTGACGGTAACACATGACATATATTTTTCGTTGGGTTAAAATATGTTTGCTTCTTCAGAGAAGCATATCAACACAACGTTGTCAGTTAAAAAAGACGACTTGCATGTTTGATATTATGTACAGATGATGGCTTCCGATTAATTTCATCTTTCAATCAGGAAGTACAGCAGATGGATAAAATGCATTATATCCAAGTCTGACTCCAAGGCCTTAACAGAGGAGTGCAGCTCCTGTTTAGAATGATTGGGCAAGTCCAAATTGCCAAAGTTCTAGCTCTCTTAAACTGATCAATGTTCAGGGTTCCCTTCAGATATTATTTTTTTCTTATTTTGTGAAGATATATTTTATACGAGATTACTTAATTTATTCATTCATTACACTGAGCCAATCTCAGTCAACCTTGAGCTAAATTAAGATCAATTTCTTGTGATCGATTCACGGATGTGCAGTTAATTTCTTGGATTGTCTTGTTCAGACTCAGTTATTTACAGTTATTATTTGCTGAGTGCGGCGTCAAACAACAAACAATCTACTTCCCACAGTAGCATGTTACACGTTGATCAGAAAGCGTGACAACAGATTTAATGATTCATGTAGAGCTTTGCTGGTTCATGTCACACAGCAACATAAATAGGAACAAAAACAGTAATAGGAACAAAAAGTTGAATGAGTGTGTAACACGGAAGTAATTATTCATCCGTCCATCAGTTTCTCTTAAATACGTTGGATAGATTTGCGTCCCTTGGCTGTGACGATCAGCTGTTCAAATTCCAAATTTCTCAAATGATTATCCTCAGTGTATTACAATCTACCATCTTGGGTTTTATTTCTGTTATCAAATTGCTTTTTTAAGCGACTTGAAAAGGTTTGAATTTTCGCCGAATAATATACCTCAATCGCGTGCTGCAATTCGCCGCACAGAGTTGTGTTCCTTAGACCAGTGCGGGAAACAGATAATCGTTGTTTGATTTTGTTATTCACTCTAATTGTTTTCTGCTTCGTCAGTATAATGTTCATGTGGTGTATCAAGCCGCGGCATTGTTCAAAGAGGCTATTAACACATTTCATTAACTTCCTGTACACTGTTATAGTATGACCAGAAATTATTGAGAATTTTAGGCATATGTTTAATTGGATTTCTAGTAAAAACAACCTTGACCAGCTATCAAGTGCTTGGTTTCATTCAAGAGAGACAACTCCCGGACCGTTAAATCTTTTTCATTAGTTTGTGAAGAGTTATCCCCATTTGTTTACTTGCTAGCAGACGACATTTTCAGTGATACTCAGTATGAATGATTTAGAGAAGAGGAAGTTGATTTTAGAGTATTTTAACAAGGACATCAGACCTGATCATGAAACCTGAACAAAAAGAGCGAAGGTTGAACTGGTGCTTACAGCATAGAAATTTTAACTGGGACAATGTGATTTTCTCAGATTAAAGTTCTGTGTGGCTGTTTTCTAATACACTGAAATTCTGGACCAAACAAACTGAAAAACCTTTGTATCAGCGCCCAAAGTACAGTCCGAAATTTAACGTGTGAGGTGGCATATCTGTGTTAGGGGCGACGCGCCTCTGTGTATTTGAAGGGAATATGAACAGTGAGCGGTACACAGATATTCTCGAGGGACATTTACTTCCATCTGCTCACGTGTTCTATGGAAATTTTTGGATTTTCCAGCAGGACAATGACCCAAAACATCGTTCAAAGCATTCACAGGCCTGGTTTCGGAACCAAAATATGACATTATTAGATTGGCCAAGCTATAGCCCTGACCTAAATCCAATAGAAAATGTTTGGGGACTTATGAAGGAAAGTGTCAATAAGAAAAATCTGACAAATATTGCTGAAATGAAAGAAGAGGTGAACCGATACTGGGACAGCATGGACCACGACATTCTAGCTTCTTTGATCAGTAGTATGCCCCGCCGCATTAAAGCCTGCATTGCTGCCCATGGTGACTTACTAAATACTAACTGTTCACCTGTCTTTGAATCTGGAGTTATGTTCTGCTCATATTCACATTTAATACGTCAGTAATGAGTGAAAAGAATAAAATCAATACAATCTTTAAATTCTAAATAATTTCTGGTTGTACTGTAACTGTCCTTCCCAATTCACCATGGAAACGGTTTCTTTCAGGGGAAGCATGGCTGGGATCTTTTACCCTCAACGGCTGTTACCCCATCCATTCTCTCATCATCGGGCCGGAGGAGACTCCAAACGACACCGTCACCATGCGCTTCTACGACATCGTTGGCGGCATTCCCAACCCCAACGACTTCATCCCCCCTCCCGAGTGCCTGCAGGCTAAATGGGGAGTCTCGACCATACGCTCATACTGGTAGAGGGCGCCACTAGACACCGGGAGTTACCTCCCTTAGGTGTATTGGTTGCCGCCATTCTCCGTTGTAATGAGTGTACCAAATGGTCCTGAGTCCGCTTTATATTTTAGATGTTAATTATTATATACATGTTTTCCTATACATATATTTTGTGTCAATTTGTTTTACAACCTGAACGAGTGTACTGTGGGCTGTAAGTGCCATTATTTTTGATGCCATCACTTACTTAAGTAGTTATCTCCCTTTAAGTAATCAATTTAATGATACTTTCTTTAAAATGTCCCTATTTTGCTGGAGCAGCGATGTAGGGACTGTGATTAAAGGGGAGATAATCGACATCCGCATGCTCATCTGTAATGGCGTTCGTCACATGAAACATCTCACGTGTGTCTTTCAGTGCCAATATCAATATTTATCCTTTTTTGAATTCTAGTCGAACACATTTACATACTAGTGTGAAAACTATTGCAAAACGGTCATCAAGGGCTAGAACTGTGATAGTATTACACCAGCTGCGATCCATTCTGGGCGGTTCACACGTTCTCGTACACATGAAATGGTTCACAGCGAGCACTCGAGCAAACACACACTCACGTTCACGTGACTGTCATATGACTATCACGTGACTCAACTGGCAGGTACCTGTGCAATACTCGTAACGTAGGTCATTGAGTTGACAAGTATTTATTTGATTAATGTTGATTGTCTTGTTCGTCGAAATTACCCCCTACAGCAATTAGATTGAATTATTATCACATTTTAAATAGTGTAGAACGTATATATTTCAGATTCATATTATATTTAGCTATCACAACCCCCGCTTCAAGTCGCCACCCACTACGGCCATGCCCGGAGATCACCTGCAACCGATCATGTTTGTCTTTGACTGTTTGTCACGTGTGACATATGATAAAACATGCTGATGGTTGTTGACGCCCGCTAATGTAGCCAGCCTGTGCACTCACGAACTGCATTTTGTGAAATCTTTCAAAGACTGTGCATACTATTGTTTTTGTGACAATAACGGTTTATATTTTCGCTTCTCTCAGAAATAAAACTATTTTCAGAAAACTGTTTTTATTTTCATGAACATTTGCGATATGCCACAAACAAAACACAATTGAAACAATATAAGCTTGAGAGAACTATCACGTGGATGACGTTTATCATTATTTACGCATACAGTTATGTTCATATTTGTAATGGACAAGACAAGTCACCATTTGTCAGTAGACAAGGTTCTCGAAGTTTAGATCATGTCCAGAAGGTCGCTAGCCTTGTCTGGTCCAGATATACCCATCTTGTTCACACTGAAGTGCCACAGCCACCCCACTAGAACTGAAGACCACTAACAATTCTGGTCAAATGGAAAATATGCAGGTCGTAACGAAGGGCGAAAGGAAGCATACAGCCAGGTGTGATCATGGTTAACAATGAAACAAACGTAAATGACGATGTATTTGATGCAGGTGTCATAGTTGTGTTCAGAACCCCAGGTTGGCAAAGTTTACACTACATTATTTAGACAAGTAACGTTTCACTAACATTTGGGGTATTTTGATCAAGAAATGATGACCGAATCTCCCGTGAAAACGGATGAAAATGAACTGTGCACATCCAACTCCCACCCCTCCCCCCCCACACACACCACCCTCACCCCTCTCTCAGGGATTTCAGTTTGCTATATTTCTCAACGTGATACATCCTGATACATTACATATGACTGTACAGAAAAGGTTCGATCGCGGGTTCGATCCCCGACCGCGTCATACCAAAAAGACGTTAAAATATGGTACTTGTTGGTCCCTGTCTGGCGCTCGGCATTAATGGGTACAACAAGGACTGGTCGGCTCGGAGTCAGTATAATGTGTCTGAGTGGGGTATTCATGCTTCACTGCGGCATGGTATCTCAGTGGGCTAGCACTATAAAACCAGCTGAAGTCTGGTCTAGTACAAGCAGCCGCACATACACATACACACGCATGCACGTCGTCATATGAGCGAAATATTCTCAAGCACGACGTTAAACCCAATTTCACCTCACCTCACCTCACCTCACCTCACCTCACCTCCAAAGCAACATAATACAGCAACACATTATACAGTAGACATATAGCATACACCAACAAACACTAGTACTCTACATCCGCTGATATATACTCAGTAACAAAATAAGATTATAATATAAACTCCACTCCTGCACAAGAGCTGAACCTATACTGATTAAATTACAATCAGCAACCGTATTACAAGGTCTACAATCAAAATATGTACACGCATTAAATAAATTTACATGACATGGCATTAGGTACAGTATACACAATGCAACCATACAAACGAGCGAACATGCACTTGACAGGCAACTAAAAACCTACTGCTTTGGTGCATTTCAAAAGCCAATGCTCCTCCATACTAAAATTATCTGTACAGGCAAAAAAGAGGCAGGGCCTCGTCTTGGTGCTTGGCTAACCACACTGAGATAGGAGGCAAATAGCCGAGGGTTTCATGGCTAGTCTTGAACCAGATTACTTTAGCCAAAATATGATGTATTTAGTCCCCGTTTCTAATTCAATGGAGTTGACAAATAATCTTCTTACTTTTGCAGGCCACCTTCTGGTGTAATATCTGTATTATCATCACCCCAAACTGCCCATATAATATCACCCTTTGGTTGTCTATCCACACTTGATCGAATAATGTCATTCATAAACTCAATGGTACGATATTTCTTGGGTACACTCCCTAACATATCAACTATCACTGTCCCCTTGTACATTACCGTGTATGACCGCCCGGAGAGCGGAAGGTCGCGGGTTCGATCCCGCGTCATACCAAAAGATGTTAAAATATGGTACTTGTTGGTCCCTGCCTGGCGCTCGGCATTAATGGGTACAACAAGGACTGGTCGGCTCGGAGTCGGAATAATGTGTCTGAGTGGGGTATTCATGCTTCACTGAGGCATGGTATCTCAGTGGGCTAGCACTATAAAACCAGCTGAAGTCTGGGCTAGTACAAGCAGCCGCACATACACATACACACGCATGCACGTCGTCATATGAGCGAAATATTCTCAAGTACGACGTTAAACCCAATTTCACCTCACCTCACCTCACCTCACCTCACCTCACCTCACCTCACAGTGTATGTACAGGCTAAGTTTTCCAAACAACTATTTTTTTTCTGCTCAGGTTGACACCACAGTTATGATTAGAGTTCCTTATCAGTGGCTTGTACAGCTAGATCAACCTTGAGTAGCAGAGTGGCCCACAAACCCAAATAGTTTACTGACAGCAGGAACATCTGCAACTGCACACATTAATGCTAACTTTACGATCACTGGTACATTGGAACCATGCACAGTCATTACAGTACCGGGCCATAATGCTTTCCTGGTTCAGTACTGGGTGTGCCTAGTCTCTGTCTCTTGACTTCCAGTGTGTTCTCTTCTCTCTGTTTACGGAGGTGGTTGTACCTTGTCTTTCTGGAGACATACCTGTTGCAATGTGTGCACCATTCCAGATCTGTTTTCTGAAAAATATCAATTCCAATGTTTTAATATATTCTGTTGTGTTAAGTAATATTCTAAAAAAACTTTCTACCTCCTGTTTCCATTAAATCATTATTATGAGATTACGTTTGCTTGGTGAAAAAAATCAAATAATACATATGCAATGAGTTTCATATATACTGTGAAACCTGCCAACAACGGCACCTGTCTAATCCGGCAAACAATTTTGGTCCCGCCAGTCTACAACAATATTATGATCAATAAAACATTGTTTAATCTGGCACCTGTCTATTCCGTATTCCAGCACGATTGTCCGGTCCCAACAAGCAATTTTGACTGTAATTAACACTGTCTAAACCGGCACGAGTATGAGCAGTCCAAGCAAGGACCCATAATCCAATACACTAAGTAATCCTCTGGGGGTTTAGGCTAATTGGGATAAGAAAATGCAGCCCTACTCTTATAATGAACCTGACTCACTCGTCAGTGCCATACTAATCAGGTAAATCTTCCAAATTATGTCTAAATGTCTAAATTACTTTTTAAACGACACACATTTTGGAAAATGTAAGCATAAATGGATAATGAATATTAAATATGTTTATTGGCGAAATTGGACTTAGTTATATCTAGAATTCCCAAAATTTTGAAAATTTGAATAAATTAAAAATTACAGTTAAATGTAAACTAGAAGATGCGTATAAGCAAGTGTAGTTGTCTATGGTAGAACATTCATCAAGAAGTATCTTATATAGCTCCTTATCTAACTTAGATTTAAGTAAATATTTGGATATTTTAAATGATAATTGTTCAAAGGCATTGTTACGTTATGAAACATTATGTATACATTATTCAATAACAATAAGAAAGGTATTCTGAGAAAAACACTGTTTATTCTGATATATTATCATCTATATATATAATGCATTACTTATTCATCTCTATATGTTACAGTCAGATTGTGAAATCACTCATTTCGTGAAAAGACTAAAAATGTCAGTCATTTCGCGAAATAACTAAGAGGGTCAGCCATTCAACTATCCCTACTGCTCGTTCTCTTTCTTCCTGGGTTAACCTTGGCATTCTCTCTGGGTGACTTTATGTGCAGTGATATTGCAGTGTTGGACAGGCCATTTATACTGATTTTTTTCGCACGATCTTTCCCACGTTTCCGACTAAGACATGTGTTTCGTGTTTCTGAGAGTCGGGGCCACAAAATGCGTTTTGGCAATTTGTTTCGTGCATCACGAACATTTATTTATATGGCCAATAGCGAAAAGCATAAAATATATTTGAGATGACCCCTGGGTGAGTCGACGGGGCGTCCTTATACCTGGCTGAGCGACCTAATTGCCATCTATAGTCTGATTTATTGTTTTCAGCAGCTATTCGTATTTTCTAAGTTTTGCCCGATTTTACGAGTAATCATGCTTTTCTGGATATCCTATTAGGCATTCCACTGAACGCCCAGTAAGGCCAATGTGGGTTATTTCGACATATGCTATTTGGAATTGTGTAAATTTTAAGGATACAGAGTAACAGCCTAAAACATCTTTTTCTGTTTCCGACAGTACTTTAGAACCTACAACCTCACTGTAATAAAGAGGTTGGTCATCCATAGACTGCTTGACTGCTCCAACTTCTAAAGCCTCTCAAAGAAGTTAATGAGAAAGCAGCTTTCGAAATTTTCACGACTCTATATTTTCTTAACAGATTTTGCTGTAAATATTTGAAAACTAAACAAAAGAAGATTGTGTAACTACTGAAAGATGATCGAGACTGTGTGCTACAGAAAGAGTCTGCTTGATTATAAAGGTAGCACGTTCGGCTTTCACTTCCGGCATGTCGTCGTAAAAGAAGCTCAAATGAAACGTCTTTGTGACGTGACTAGTAACGGGGTGCCGTTCAATCTTCGAATATCAGTAGCGAGTACTAAGATCTGGTGTTATTGACACTGCAGTTACTTATGGCTGTTATCGCTGGTTATCGAGGTTATCTGTACAACACTTAGACTTCTGATTACAAGTAGAACAAATACTGTACCACACTGTGGCGAACCGCTGCCAGATCTTCACGTGATACGTACTGACTGCAGTGTACACACACGTCCATCCAATCGGAATCAAAACCCGGGTTCGATTCCCACATGCGTTGCATTAAGTCCGTTCCTAATCTGCTAGTCATCGTTAATCTCAAACTGCTTGAAGATGAATACGAATTGTCACAACCAAAAGAAGTGCATGATGCAATGCCGAGGATGTTTCCCCCGTGTTTCGCTTTTGTAGAGGGTGACCTTGACCTTGATTATGACGTACGACAGACACATTGCGCTTGTGCGTGAACCTAGGTCTTCTTAAAACCTATCGGTGGACGTTGGGGCGGTGGCGCAAACACGTGTCCAAAACGATCGTTCGTCACGCCGACCGACCGGGTATTATTATAAAATGAACGCAGTGATTGTTTTACCGCTACTCGTGTTTAATACAGTGAGTGAGTGAGTGAGCATGGCTTAACGCCGCATCAACAATGTCCCAGCTATTCGCGGCGATTTCTAATGCAGCCTTTGGAGCCCACAAATGAGCTACACATACTGTACCCAGTTAGTCTGAGGACCAGGGCCCTGTTCCTCAAAGCGATCGTAGCGCTACGACAGTCGTAACTCCCATACTTTAACATAGACTTACGACTGTCGTAGCGCTACGATCGCTTTGAGGAACAGGGCCCTGGATAGACGACACCTTACACCACTCTCCAACACAGGAGGTGAGGTGAAATTGGGTTTTACGTCGTGCTTTAGAATATTTCGCGCATATGACGACGTGCATGCGTGTGTATGTGTATGTGCGGCTGCTTGAACTAGCCCAGACTTCAGCTGGTTTTATAGTGCTAGCCCACAGAGATACCATGCCGCAGTGAAGCATGAATACCCCACTCAGACACATTATACTGACTCCGAGCCGACCAGTCCTTGTTGTACCCATTAATGCCGAGCGCCAGGCAGGGACCAACAAGTACCATATTTTAACGTCTTTTGGTGTGACACGGTCAGGGATCGAACCCGCGACCTTCCGCTCTCCGGGCGGACGCTCTAACCACTACACCACGGAGGCGGTCTCCAACACAGGAGACTAACGCTGCTTCATAGTTATTTTCAGTAGTTCAAAATAGAAAAATATCATAGAAATCGTAGTTATTGTAGAGAGGTAGTGGGGTAATTTAGTAGTATAAAAGCAAGACTCGGAAAATTCACACAGCAAAAACACAAACCAAAACCTAGATACATTACTTGATATATTAAGTTATGTTTCAGAGCAAAGTACCTTAAAGACTGTTTAAAATATTACGTTTGCATTTTTTATGACCACGGGTAGCCTAGTAGTTAAGGCGTTTACTCGTCGCCGATGACCCGGGTTCGATTCCCAACGTGGGCAGTATGTGTGAAGCCCATATGACCCCAGGGTTACAACAAGGGGAACATATGACCATATAAAATGGATGCTTGTCATATGATACTCACACAACAGCCTGAATACAAGCTGCCTGAACATGTGATATGCCCGATTTTGACAGCCATGTGACCTGCGCGTGTTGATACGGGTATATAACAATTGATGTCCTCAGCCCCGTCCTCTCTGTGTAGCGCTGTAGAGTCGATATGTCGAAGATCTCGCTGGTCGCGTGTGTGTTGATGGCCGTTGGGGCCTTGGGGCAGCTCCATGTATAACACCACCCCAGTTTACGGTCTACAATACCATGTATAACACCACCCCAGTTTACGGTCAGTACAGTACCCTCCTCAACCCCCATGTAAAAAAACAACCCCATCTTCCTACCCCGAGCTTGGGCAGCTCCCGTTTCCCTGTATAACACCACCCCAGTTTACGGTCAGCAAAGTACCCTCCTCCCTCCAACCCCATGTGTGACCTCACCCACCGTTTACGGTAACCTCAGCTACCACCCTTTGTAACTTCACCCAAGTTCATGGTCAGTACAGTAATCCCCTCCATCCTTGCGTGTCACCCCAACCCAGTTTACGGTAAATACAGTATCCTCATCTCCCACCCTGTGTAACTCCATCCAAATTCACGGTCATAACATATCCTCACCTCATTCCACCCTCCCCGAGAGTGGAACGCCACCAAAGGTCGTGATCGGTACAGATCCTTACCCTCCCCTACCCCTAATTGAGTTTTTTTTTAGATTTTTGCGTGCAATGACTGTGATTTGTACAAATCGTAATAAACTGGATCTCGCTTCTGCAAGAATCCGAATATCAGGGTTTTGAACTGTTTACAAAACAGTACCATTAAGTTTGTGCATGTGTAGCGTTGTAGTTATGTTTATGCAGGACATCGCATGTGTAGAAGTCATTAAGGCCGTAGGTATATAAACAGTCAGGTGTAAGCCAGGTGAAACATGATAAATGTAATATGACACCAGGATAACGGTAGTTATTGGTTTTCTTGTAGGTCGTACACATTGTTATACCTGAATCATTGTAACTGTATATTTTGTTTGTGTGTGTAACGATGCAATCAGTCTGCTAGATACTCTAAAAAAAAGTCCTGGATGATTGGGATTAACCCCAGTTTGAGTTGGGATTAACCCCAAATTTTGGTCTAAAAGAAAACTTTGCTCTCTCCTGATACATGCTTCAACAATTCAGAAAACTATGGCTATAACCAACTCAAAGGCACTAGCTATTCTAGTTCGTTTTTTCGAATAAAATATACAGCAAGTGGCCTGGAGCAGATAACGATATTCGTTCGTTATAAATCGTTCGTTAAAAGCGTGTCCATCAAAAGGGACCGTTCATAATTTATGGCTAGGGGGTGATGAAAATTTTAAAAATTGGTGTTTTAAGGGGGTCACCCATTTTGTTCTGGGGAGCTAGGGAGGGTCATCTATTTTGTACACATGTACTAGGGGGTTAGGGGTTGGTCAGCAATTTTGTACATAGAAATATGTTTAAAATGATGCTTAGAAATTATGGGAAGGGAAGGGGGGTCATTGATTTTGTACATGACATGCAGGGGGGTCACTTATTTTGTACATATATTTAAGGGGGGGTCATTCACATTGTACATGCTTCTCCATAAAAATCATCATCACCCCCTAGTCGTAAATTATGAACGGCCCCTATGCGTAGTTTGCAGTATCATATTATGTCCATTAAATAGTTCCTGTCCTTCGGGAACTCATGAAGTAAGTAGGTGATAGCAATATCTGAGTACAGGTGCTAAGAAAGTTCAAAGGTGTATGTTACTGACTGATCACCTCTCCTCCTTCAAGATTAGATTATGGTGGACTTCGGCGTCCCGTCCACGCATTGTGAATGGCCGTATCAGTGGGTGAAGTGTCCCCGTTGCTGATAATGATCTAAGTGACACCCTTCTTCTGGTTTCGAAACAGCATTAACCAGAGGAATTTGAAAATGACAATGGAAGAGGGCATAACGAGTATAGCATATAAACGTTCTCTTGGAATCCAAAGCATTACTTGCAATTATATTTTGAACTTCTTTTGTAAAATAATATTAAACATTAACGTTACATTTTGCCTTCTCGTGATTATAGTGTTTCATTGTATCAAAACGCCACCTCAGATTCATTTGCTGAAGACACTGACAGAACTTGACAACTGTAGTTGGACCAAGGATATTTCATTTATTTCCCAAAGATGTACTTTTTGCAAAAACTGTCCACATCAAAATATGCATAAACAGTAATTGCAAAGCTGTAGCGAGACATAACTCTGCTATTGGGAATATACATAAGTTGTTTTTTTTTGTTGTTTTTTTTCCTTTTTCTTTTGTTTCCAGTGTAAACTTAGGGATCGTGTAATTGCTGGTGATGTTCCTCAATCAGGACACATGTGCTTGGCACTCATGCTTTTACCATACACTACTCATGTCACGCACTCACGACAAAACTGATAAATCTCGCACTAACCTGGGTTCATAGTCCATACAAATTTTAACTACTTTAAAAATCACACAAATTGGTCACAATGCATCGTTTTCAGTGTCTTTTCTGAGAAGGAAAGTTGCAGTCATTCGGAGGCTTCAGGGGGCTAAAAGTATTAGTCAGTATAGAGTACACCGTATCTGAGTCGGTTATCCATGTTAAACTGCAACATGCTATCTCTCAAATTAGAATTCAACTGGAATAGTACTCGCGGCCACAAACACACTAGCATGTGCATTGTTATAAAATTACATAAAAATATTCATAAGTTGATTATTAGCAATAATTTCCTTACTGCTACTGGGGCGGTTGTCAGTAATCATCTCAACCCTCCATGTTATCTTCTGAATTGTATTTCAGGGCATGAGGGACACACTTAATATCCGCATCATGTTTTGTTTTTTTTTATTTTACGAGAGACTCCAAAAGAGCTAAAGTCTCACTCGGTCTGTACTGTGTCCCTTGTTTTAAGTAAGCATGCATATTTTTAAAGTTTGGGGTAGCCTAGTGGTTAAAGCGTTCTCTCGTCTCGTCGGACCCGGGTTCGATTCCCCACATGGGAACAATGTGTGATCTGGTGTCCCCGCCGTGACATTGCTGGAATATCGTTAAAGCGTAAAACTAAACTCTCTCACTCTCTCTTACAGTTCCGGGGGATGGAGATCAACCACGTGGATGACGCCATTCGCCGCTTCATCATCGGCTACGACGCCACCAACAGGAGGAAGGTGATGTTCGAGGAGGAACGCGAGATCATCCCAGGCCGACAGTGAGTTATTACCCCTCACAGTCCCTCATCTGTTGAATAAAGTCTCGGTCCTGATCAGTGAAGATCCGGGTGAGAATTGGTCTTCAGCAACCCATGCATGTCGTAAGAGGCGACTAACGGCATCGGTTGGTCAGGCTCGCTGACATATTGGTTGACACATGTCATCGTATTCCAGTTGCGTAGATCGATGCTCGTGCTGTTGATCACTGGAATGTCTGATTATATACAGACCACCGGAATATAGCTGGAATATTGCTGAGTGCGGCGTAAGACAACAAACAAACCATTCTCCGTTTATGGTCTCTCTCCTCAATCTAATAAATTATGTTATTAGGAATATCGTATCACAAGTTTGTATCAAATGAACTGAATTATTCCATATGTGTGAGTCAGAGAATTCTATTCATTTATTCGATCGATAAAGAATATATGTTGCATGATAATTTTACTGCGGCCATACTGAAATAAAAACATATTGCTTTTTTTAGAAACCATGTTACTGACTTCTATGTGTGTTAACTACACTTCTCCAGGGTACGGGGAGGTGGGGTAGCCCAGTGGTTAAAGCGTTAGCTCGTCACGTCGAAGACCCGTGTTTCATGCTCAAGGGGCGAAGGGGTGGCCTAATGGTTAAAGCGTTAAGGGTTCGACACAGCTTCGTTTCCCCACATGGATACAATGTGTGAAGCCCATTTCTGGTGTCCCCATTTCTGGCGATATTCCTGGAATATTTCTAAAAGCGGCGTAAAACTAATTTCACTCACTCATTCCATAGATATCACGAGTACTTGGTCCTCAACAACGATAACGTGGCGTACGACTTCAACATGAAGACCAAGGAGTGTACCAAGTCCGTTCCCAGGACGTGGAGGGACTTTGGAATCCCCCCTAACGCTACCTTCGAGAACGAGTACTACATTGGGGGCCCAGGGGAGGAGGTGTTCGCCCAGGAATGGTCCGACAGGATCCCATTTAGACAAAGTAAGGGTCCCTGCTGTTGTGTTTCTCGGGCGTGGGGATATTTTTTTCATTTTTATAGAGACGGATTGTGTTTTGGTTACTGCTTCAAAAGCACAAAAAATATCATGACAACACAATTTTCCCCAGGATATCCGTCATGACCAGAGAAAACTGTATTTGAAGGTGATATATGACATTTTTTCCGTTGGGTTAAAATATGTTTGCTCCTTCAGAGAAGCATATCAAACAAAACGTTGTCAGTTGAAAAGGGACTGACAAACATATACTATATACAATGATGGCTTCCGAATATTTTCATCTTTCAAGCAGGAAGTAGAGCAGATGACAAGTCTTGCATTATATTGCACACGTAATCTGAATCTATTTATGAGATCACGTTGGTTATTTGAAACAGGCGTTGTGTAACCAACCTAACGTCATAATGCCGAACTTTCTGTTGCCACCTCAATATTTTAAATTAACATTATAACTCCATTCAAGCAGTTTTTGACCAAAAATGTCAACCAAACATAACATTAGGTTTGTGGATAATTAAAAAGCAAGTTCGGTGTCCTTGGGATTAGTATTATTTTTCAATTGAATATTTTTAATTGTCTATTTTCATCTATAAAGTAGTCTATATAGAGTTTTCTCCCTTTCTTTTTGTTTACAACCGGCATCGTCTGCTTGATTTATCATCGTGGATGACATTGTTTCCCGTCCTTTGTCGGTGTAATAAATAGGTCACAAAACTCGTAGATGTTGAATATGGAAAATATTCCAACTCAATAATTTTAAACGTTTTGATTTATTCACTAGCTTTCGCTTTTTTCACATTCAACATCCACTTGTTTTGTAATCTCTATATATCCTAGTCTGTCTCCCAAACCAAGAGAACAAATTAACAAAGGAGTCCAACTCCAGTCTAAAGTGGTTGGGCAAATTGCCCAACGGTTGTGCAGTTACGTCCATGGATTGTCTGGTCCAGATTCGATTATTTACAGACCGCTGCCGTATAGCTGGAGTATTGCTGAGTGCGGCATTAAACACCAAACAACCAAACAAACTACTATCCACAGTAGGATGTTACACGTTGATCAGAAATGATGCATGTATAGTTTTGCTGGTTCATGTAACAAAGCAATATTTTCCTCAATTGTGTCCCTCAGCTGTGATTATTATCTTCAGTATTACTATTAGAATTTACGATCTCGGTCTTAAACTCTGTTAACAAATTGCAAATTGCTTTGCTAAAACGACTTAAAATTGCTGAAAAGATTACCTCATTCGTGGACAGCAATTCGCCGAACAGAGTTGCGTCCCTTAGACCAGTACGAGAAACCAATAATCCTTATTTATTCACACTGCTTGTTCCTTGATTTGTCAGTGTGATGTCCATGTGGTGTATCAAGCCACGAAAAAATTGAGGCATTTTTCAAAGCACATTTCATTCACATGCTATGTTCTCACACTCCGGCACAGCGATGACTAAACATAACATCACTGCCACAGGCTAATTTGCATATCACGTGACCGGACTTTTCTCTTGTTTGTAATCAAACGCGCATATTCATAAAAAGAAGAGACTGGACTCACGTAAGCTTTTCGGCGCTCTCTTCATAATGTTTTACATTGTTACATATATATTCTTCCACAACTGCGACAGTTAGGTCTATGACAGTACATATTTAGATATCAAACTGGCTGCATCGTTTGCTCTCCGTCGGCTTCGATGACAGCACGTGGAGCCGCACAACCTATGTAAACAAAGGATCGCTACGCAAATCGAAATAGTGTTACATGTTTTTTGGATATTTTCTCAGTGAAACTAAACCATTCTATTAAAGATGTTTAGTTAGATGTGTAGAGTAAAAGAAATCTGTACATTATATTGAATGGACATTGCAAGATGTGACGAATCGTCACATTTTTCTGGCCTGTGGCAGAGATACTATGCTGGCTTGCCGCATGGAACTCTGGGTAGGAGAGTGGCTATGTTCTGTTAAATGTCCTTCCCAATTGTTTTTCACCATTGAAACCTTTTTTTTTCAGGGGAAACATGGCTGGGATCTTTTTCACTCAACAGCTGCTACCCCATCCATTCTCTCATCATCGGGCCGGAGGAGAGTCCAAACGACACCGTCACCATGCACTTCTACGACATCGTTGACGGCATCCCCGACCCCAACGACTTCATCCCCCCCCTTCAGAGTGCCTGCAGGCTAAGTGGGGAGTCTCGTCCATGCCCTCATACTGGTAGAGGGCGCCACTAGACACCGGGAGTTACCTCCCTTAGGTGTATTGGTTGCCGCCATTCTCCGTTGTATCGAGTGTATCAAATGGTCCTGAGACCGCTTTATATTTTAGATGTTAATTATTTAAAACATGTTTTCATGTACATATATTTTGTATCACAAAAGTTTGCCATCTGAACGAGTGTGCTATGAGCTGCATGTTGGTGTGAATTATTTTTGATGCCATCACTTACTTAAGTAGTTATCTCCCTTTAAGTAATCCATTTAATGATACTTTCTTTAAAATGTCCCTATTTTGACTGAAGCAGCAATGTAGGGACTGTGATGTAAGGGGAGATAATCGACATCCGCATGCTCATCTGTAATGGCGTTCGTCACATGAAACATCTCACGTGTGTCTTTCAGTGCCCATTTCAATATTTATCTGTTTGTGATTTCTAGTCGAACACATTTACATACTAGTGTGAAAACTATTGCAAAACGGTCATCAAGGGCTAGAACTGTGATAGTATTACACCAGCTGCGTTCCATTCTGGGCGGTTCACACGTTCTCGAACACTTATAACGGTTCACCGCGAGCACTCGAGCAAACGCACACTCACGTTCACGTGACTGTCATATGACTATCACATGACTCAACTGGCAGGTACCTGTGCAATACTCGTAACGTTGGTCATTGAGTTGACAAGGATTTATTTGATTAATGTTGATTGTCTTGTTCGTCGAGATACCTCCTACAGCAATTAGACTGAATTTTTTAATATATAAAATAGTGTAGAACGTATATATTTCAGATTCATATTATATTTAGCTTCACAACCCCCGCTTCAAGTCGCCACCCACTACGGCCATGCCCCGAGATCACCTGTAACCGATCATGTTTGTCTTTGACTGTTTGTCACGTGTGACATATGACAAAACAAGCTGATGGTTGTTGACCCCCGCTAATGTAGCCAGCCTGTGCACTCACGAACTGCATTTAGTGAAATCTTTCAGCGAATGTGCATTTTAATGTCATTGTGACAACAACGCCTTTTATTTTCGCTTCTCTCAGAAATAAAACTTTTTTCTGAAAACTGTTTCTATGTTTCATTTGCGATATGCCACAAACAAAACACAAACAATATAAGCTTGAGAGAAACATCACGTGGATGACGTTTATCATTATTAGGTGATTTACGGGATCGGGTAGTCAGGCTCGTTCACTTGGTTGACACATGATCGTATCCCAATTGTGTAGATCGATGCTCATGTTGTTGATCACTGGTCGATCATTTAAAGACCGTCGCCATATAGTTGGAATATTGCTGAGTGCGGCGTTAATCAACCGGGGCGGTGGGGTAGCCTAGTGGTTAAAGCGTTGGCTCGTCACGCCGAAGACCCGGGTTCGAATCCCCACATGGGTACAATGTGTGAAGCCCATTTCTGGTGTCCCCTGCCGTGATGTTGCTGGAATATTGCTAAAAGCGGTGTAAAACCAAACTCAGTCAGTCAGTCAGTCAGTTAAACAACCAGCCAACCAACTCCGAGCCGACCAGTCCTTGATTGTGTCCCTTTAACTCCGAGCGCTGGGCGTATGTGTGGATATCATCAAACCTGGCGTAAAACCATATTCAGTCACTTTTTGTAAAATATGTCACATCATATATCAAATGTGAGCTGGACGGTAGGGTTTTCTATTTACCTTTTAAAACTGAAATCAAAAGTCTTGATTTTTGCATGGTTGACGGACTATTCTTAAAGGGGGAAAGTTGCGTATGCGCAATAAACCTGACTCACGGACAGGTGGAAAATTGAAGCAACTATCTTCAAAGAACCTTTTCGCCAAAGTGAAACAATCTTAACTGGAAAGTGAAAACCTCATTTCACCTTCTCAGTTTTATCTGAGTGTGCAAGGTCAGGATTTACCTGATCAGAATTGGCCCCCAGTAGGCTATTCTGGTCTGGTCTAAAGATGGTCAGGCTCGGTGACTTAGCTCACTGCGAGTCAGCGTATCCTGATGGCGTGAGTCGTTGTTTATAATATCGACCCTTGGATTGTCTGATCCAGACTCTATTAAATAAAGGCTGTCATTCGTCCCGTAACTCATTGGTTGGGTCGTCGGGTCTTTTGTTGTACCGAAATTCGCTTGAAATTTTATGAAAAGTTTACCCTTTCCTCTTAGTTTCATATCAGTAATGTTAGCGCCAAACGTCATCTTGAGTTCCCGTGACAGTCAATATTCACCACTTGTCAGGTCAATATACTGTATTCGAAGTCAGTCACGTGATTTGGGGGCAACCTTCAATGTTTTTGTTTTTGTCACGTGGCACGGATTAACCCATGGAATTTCAAGATTCTTAAGAGAGGAAAAACAAACGCATGTATTGAAATTTCGAACTCTTCGGAAAGACAAGTTGGTTGGTTGGTTGTTTAAAGCCACACACAGCAATATTCCAGCTATGTGGAGGCGGTCTGTAAATAATCGAGTCTGGATCAGACAATCCAGTGATCAACATCATGAGCATCGATCTGCGCAATGGGGGATGACATGTCCCAACCAAGTCAGCGAGTCTGACCACCCGATATCGTCTGTCGCCTCGTACGACAAGCATGGGTTACTGAAGATCAATTCTAACCCGGATCTTCACGAGTCGAAAAGTCAAGTGGGGTGTTACAGTGAGTTGGTGAGAGAGTTAAAACTGAAAAGTTAAATGGGCAATATTTCACATAGTGACTATAAAAGGTTTTACATAATAAAGGAGTGTAGAAGGAGTGAGTGAGTGAGTGATGGGGAAAGGACGTGTGTAAAGGACACGTAAGTGCGTAATGAGTCGTACGGGCGTAAGTTCCGACGGCACTGGAAATATGCTTCATACATGGAATTCGAGCTCCATTCTCGGTATGAGAAGCGGAGACTTCATCCATTTCGCTTTCTGTCTCCCAGAACACGAGAATAACTAAATAAATAATAAATAATTAATCCAAATAACTAAATAATTAATCCAGCTAAAGTCTAAGCTGATTAGGCAAGACCGATTGCGCCGACTTTGAAGTTTTTGAATTGCTCTTTGCTCTACTTTGGAACTGAAAGTAATTAATCGCAACAATTCTTTGACGCTACAATTATTGTATAAATCGTTGTTGTCAAAATCAGTTGATCAGGTTGCGGTAACAATCTAAGAAGACAAAATATTATTAACAAAAGCTTTACCGCCTGGCCCTTTTTCATGCTCCTTTGATGTTGGCCACAGCCCAAATCTCCGAACTCCGAAATGCGTAAAATGCACGTGCAGCACACAGTTATTGGTAATGTACATATCCTGCCGGGTTTAGATGGCTTGGGTGTGAGTGTGCACGACGACTGAATGTCAAATGTTCAGGAACAACTTATCAAGACACAATGATGGGGCGAATATGGAACTAGAGTGGACCCCTGAATCAAGTTGACGGTTAGTACAGAATGTATATCGTAGGTTTCTCATTACCAAGGGTTACCTCCCTTACACAATGCGTTGACAGTGCAGTCCCTTTGGCTGTACCAAAGACGAATATCTTCATGTGCAAAGAGAGGATACATTCTTGCTGATTTAAACATGCTTTCACAACATTTATATTATTCACAACTAACTAATTTATTTGCTATTAACACTGTCTTCTCGCTACTGTGATATATTCAATTATAATATTTCTATAATTTTAACAACGACAAAATGCGAACACAAAACTCCTGCAATCTCCTTAACCAATGTTCTAGATACAGAAGTGTGTAAAGTTTGGCATTATTATGCTTCTGGTGAAATTACATTGCATTCCGTCATGTTAGTTGTATCACTATCAGATTTGGCACAGCAGAATATGTTCATGTATACATAATGTGTGTTAATGTCATACGAGATTTACTGATGATTTCTGGCTTGATATGTCTGTGTAGCCGATTAATCGCCTGTCCACTCACAACCACCTGCGGCTCAGTGAATCTCAATTCCAGTTTGAGAGGCACTTTGATCACGGTTTCGTAACAGTCGTTCTGATGAAACAGTCGTCGTCCTTGATCGACCAGATCAACGTCTGTCATCAACGTTATTTGTCGGTCGATATCGTGATTGTAATCTGATAATTACTGACTGTTCAAAACGTCAAACGTTAAAGAGATCATACCACAATAGCCATGTCTTGTTCCAACGGGGCGGTGCGTAAACCATACTCACTCACTCACTCTTGTTCCAACCTCCAGCATACCAGTTGCAGGTAGCCAGCCCTGACGTGACATACGACGCTTGTGAAAAAATCCCGTTCAAATATCAGATCATCATTCAGTCTCTGTTCTATTACTGAAATGTAGATCTACAGATACATGCCTTTCACTGTATGCCTGATCTTCTAATTTTATCGACCCGTAAAGATTCGGGGTAGAATAGGCCTTCAGCAACCCATGCTTGCCACAAAAGGCGACTATGCTTGTCGTAAAAGGCGACTAACGGGATCGGGTGGTCAGACTCGCTGACTTGGTTGACACATGTCATCGGTTCCAAAATTGCGCAGATCGATGCTCATGCTGTTGATCACTGGATTGTCTGGTCCAGACTCGATTATTTACAGACCGCCACCATATACATGTAGCTGGAATATTGCTGAGTGCAGCGTAAAACTAAACTCACTCACTCACTCTAATTTTATCCCGACCATGTTCATGTGCACATCCTGGGAAAGAAATGTTTGCAAGATATTGGCGAAATTCAAAACACGCTGTGAATGGAATATTAATTTTCTTAATACATAAAATCACGCAACTTGGGTTCCAAAACAGACTCTCCTTTATTTTCTAATCATGTATTTCTGGATCGATAGAACTACTCCATTCTGTCAACTGTTTCGATTGTGACGTCATAGCTGTGACGTCATAACATACACGTTCACGAGGTTGTGTATTCAGAAGGACAAGTAGGCCCCCTGCTGTCTGCAGTCAACCTCCCACAGACAAGTTCTTCCCATTGTGGCGGCAGGTGAGGTAAGGATTGTTCTAGTGTGGCCATTGTTACAGAATTAAAATGTTTCATTCAATGAAATACACAATGCCACTTTAGAAAGTGGTCAAATGTAACATATGTTATATTTGGGATTACACTTTCCCAGTTAAGTACACATTCTAGTACTTTTGGGGGTTTAGTCCCATCCGGGATTCGATCCCACATACATAGGTGGGTTCGAATCCCAGAGGGACTCAACCCCTAAAAAGTACTAGAATCTGTGGCCTACCTTTAGAATACAGCACCACAAACTTTAAAAATACGTCATAATACCCTTTTACGTAATGTAATGTGATTTTATTCGAAAGCACGATCTCGAAACAATGCCCTATGACGCCTGCATGGCAACACGGTTGTCTGGCTCAGCGAGTGCATATAAGCTCCGCTCACTGGTGTTTCATCTCTACAACCTATGTCATTGCATAAGCCCAACGATGATGAGAGTTTCCAGTAGTTGTATACCGGCGGATGCGCAATATTTTGCAAGCACCAGTTTGAAATATTTTTCTTTTTTCACTAATACGCTCATATTTATTTGTATTACGGGCTGCTGAGGTGTTATGTGTTGTGTATTTTGTATTTTGTAATTTTAAAAATTTACATATATATTTTTGTTATTCAGTAATGTGCACCATTACATAGAAAAGTGTTTTATTAGTATTTTATTTTTCGAAGCGGTAATAATGCATTACACTAGACACGTCAGTCGTGTTTGTGCCGGTTCTGTCAATGCATTCTATTTATTAGGATTAATTCAAGGGGCTAGGGCTAGGGCTAGGGCTAGGGGTTAGGGTTTAGGGTTTAGGGTTAGGGTTGGGGTTGGGGACCTAATGCAATATAGTAGGTACATGTCCGGTGGTTCGGTCAATGCATTCTATTTATTAGGATTATTTCAAGGGGTTAGGGTTAGGGCAGAGGGTTTAGAGTTTAGGGTTAGGGTTAGGGTTAGGGACCTAATCCAATATAGTAGGTACATGTCCGTGAGTACCATTTGTTGTTTTTCCCTTTTGCATTTTAATACTTTTTTTCACACAAAAACGGGAAACCAAAAACGTCGAAAGTACAT